TCTTGCTCAGTAACAGTTGCGGACTAAACAGTTTGGAAGTTTTGGGGGTTCACATTCGAGATCTGGTGGGGATGAAATGAGTGATGGAGAATGAATTGTTTGTAGCAGGTGCTGTTAGCTATTTATCAGCTCTAGTCCCTACATATGTGTGTCAAAGTCAACAGATGCAGTCTATAAGTCACGTTTGACGAAGTGTGCGGGAAGTAAACAACCCAATATTGGTAAGAAACCTTGTACCATTGTTTTATTTTAGTTTTTATTTGAGCTGTAGTTGTACTGACGTTTTCCAGTAATGTAACTGCATTTTATGGAAATAACAATTCTTGATTCTTGATTCTTGATTCTTGAAAAGAGGGAGACCTGTGGTATATCCATATTTATGCGTGGTCTAGATGTCATCATTTAATCACATCTGATAGAAAGGTAACCATGAAAACAGATTACCGTTAATTACTCATTACCGAAAAAAAAACATTATGGTGACATCAATACTGTTGGCCCGAAAGTAGTGATTGACCAAATAACCTCACTGTTAGTTCCAAAATAATAATTACGAGATGTTGGACCGTCGAATAGTGTGTACGGGAATCGAATAGTCCATTACAACTATATATAATTATATCAATATTTCTGTTCCCAATTCAAGCATAGTTTAAGCAGCTCAAAATTTATAGTAAATAAAAAGCTGCCAATATGAATTAAAACATGTTTTCACTGTTATTTTCCCATAATTTCCTCAAAAGGTCGAGTAGTAGTAAAATAATTGTCATAAGCTTTCTTTTGAAGATTCGTGAGCTTCGATTCGTATACAGCAATGGTTATAGAATCTCACTTATCTTACTAATATTATAAATGTGAAAGTTTGTGTGTTTGTTTGTTTGAAGTTCAATCACGCATTATCTACTGGACGGATTGGGCTGAAATTTGGCATGATGATAGTTCACATTCCCGATTAACATATAGGCATATTCTTATCTCAAAAATCTTTTCAGCTCCGCCCCAGTGGCTCTGTAGTTCGTCATGTTATCCTTATGAGTATTCATATTTAAAGGAAATTAAAGAATCTAGTCAGCTGTTTCAACTAAAAAGTTGATTCTATGATATGCAAAAGCATTAAAAGTTTATAAGATTTACAAACAGAGTGCAGCACTATATATTTTTTGCATTTATAAAAACAGCTAATTTGAACTAAGCAGCAAAAAAAAAACAAAAAAAAAACTGTAATACACAATGAAAACTAACTGTCAAAGTAGGAAGTTATGTTTATGTTTTTAATTTAATGAATAATTTGTGATATCTTGCGAATTTTTTAATATTTATTTTTCTCTATTGTTTAGGTGAAGTGGTAGAACATTATGGCTATGGTAGATGTGTAATACTATAGAATACTGTAAATTTAAAGAAGCAAATTTTGTCAAACTGTGTCCTCCCTCATTGCAAACGCAAAGCTTGAGTTTAACTGCAATAAGCATTTTATACTTATATGCCAACCCCGTACGAAGGACGGGTACTCTGCTAGTTTCCTATAATCAATACAAAATCACACATAGTTCTATTGAATATTTTTGTAATCAACCAGCTGTTAGTTATAACAAATTATATTGCACTAAAACAAGCTAAATATTTTAAAGACTGCTAAAAAAAAGTTAGAACATCTAGTATTTTACTATGTATATTTAAATAAACTCTCATCATCTTACCGAATAAATGAACGTATCGATGATTATAGCATTACACATAGTATAAATAAGTTAATTCTACGTATGTCCGTTCATTTTCAATCAAATACTGAATCTGTGTCGAAAACGCTGAATGTTTACAACTGTTTAAGTTAAACAAATTGTATTATACCAAAAGATTGTCTAGAATGTTAGCGTCGGCTGCTAGACTTTTTGAAAATTAAAACTTGATGTACAAAACAAACTGAACCCCTAAACTAAAATTATGGTTTCAACATTTTCTAGTTAAAAAAAATGATCTTTCTTTCAACACAAAAAATGATGAAAATCCGTAAAGTGGTTGATTTAGAATCGTGAAATAAAAAAAACCCTGTCACGTTTTAATACATGATAATACTTAAAAAAAAAATAAGGACGGGGACTTACGCCATTTGTACTAATCGATAATTAATTATTACAGAACAAATTAAATTGAAAACAAAAATAACTTGAATCATTACATAGTTAGAAGTGATGTGTATATAGAAAATTATGTACATTGGCATTGTGAGTATGATTTAAATAATTGATTTTTAAAAATAAACCCAATGATTTGAATCAAGTTAAATATACCGGTGCAGTAATAACCTTATAAATTATTCATAAGCCTTCTTACATATAGTACTTATTCGTTACTTATAAACACTAAATACGTGTAACGCATACTCATTGTATTATGTTTTAACTGAAAAATTATTAATTGTCAACCACGCATTTACAATACAATAATTGGTATTTGCAAATTATGCGTAAACATATTTATTGCTGATTATTAGAGATGTGTATGATATGATGCGCATCAAACAATGCTTAGGGAGTGTCAGACGGGGTTACTCCCCTCATACATGAAATATTATCTTAACAGGTGGTTACAGTCAACACCTGCGCTGGTGGTCCCTCCGACGTTGTATCTCCACTGTCTTCGTCATATCAACATATGTGGTCTGTAGTGGTTGACTAAATCCTCACTGTTAGTTCAAGAGTTGCTCAATAGGTAGCGTTGGGACGTCTCGGTTGGAGCTGATCCAAACGTATCTCACTATTCATTCATCCTTTAGCCAAGAAAGTATCACCACTGCTCGATCAACATGTCGGACCAGGAACCATTATTTACCGACCAGGAGTTAATTGATATTGCCAATACAATTGAGGCAGAATACCTCGAGAATCAGCTTCGAGGTATTAGCGAGCAGGAGCTAATTCATATCGCCAATGCGTTGGAAGCTGAAGATATGAATAAAAAATTTCAAGAGATGACAACTGAGGAGCTCAAGAACCAGCATGATGATGATTCGTGGGAGTTGAATTGTAAATGGTGTGCTCAACCGAGGTGCCCCGAGGAATGGGCACATCTAAATAAATTAATGGCAAAGCTGGTCACAGTGGAATGTCTGCTGCAACAACGGGCTGAAGCGGAAATTGTATTAAATGAAACCTAATTCCTTAGTTTTAAGATTATTTGTATACTACATAAGTTTAGATTTTTGTAAATAAATAATATAAAAAACAAAAAAAAAACAAACAAACAAACTAATAATTATAACTATTCCATACTATCTCAGCTTAGCTAAGACAGTGATGTAATAGTGTCTGCGATGAACCCTCTCTGTTGATTCCTACGCACTACTCCACGTGTCTAGACATCATAAATTATGTTAAAACATGTGGCGAGGTTGGCGAAGGGAGGGATTGTGGAAGCATCCCCTTTTATCTTTGTGAGAAGTTCACAACACTGGTGGTGAGGGGTACCCTCCGCCACTTACGCCATGTGTATTAATTGGTAATTACACATTGTCGAAAAAAAAACAAATTGTAATTAATCATTACCACCTCGGAGGTGGAGGCGGAGGTGGAGGCGGAGGTGGAGGCGGAGGCGGAGGCGGAGGCAGAGGCGGAGGTTGAGGCGGAGGCGGAGGCATGTGTGAGGCAGAATAGATATTAATTACCTAAAAACACTGCAATTACTCATTACCTTAAAAAAACTAATTGTAAATACTTATTAACAAAACAACTAATTGTAAATACTCATTAACAAAAAAAAAATTAATTGTAAATACTCATTACCCATTAAAAAAAAACTAATTGTAAATACTCATTACCCATTAAAAAAAACTAATTGTAATTACTCATTACCCATAAAAAAAAACTAATTGTAAATACTTTGTAAATACTCATTACAAAAAAAAAAAAAAAAAAAAAAAAAAAAAACTAATTGTAATTACTCATTGTAATTACTCATTGTAATTACTAATTACTCATTGTAATTACTAATTACCTCCGGTCCCACTCCGCCCTATATGGTACCGGGCAATTAGACCTACTTTTAACTGAACCTTTTGATAATTAAAAAATGTCTTTATGTTATATATAGTCTACTGTATTGATTCCACGACAGGATTTGCGTCACCAGACTAACGGTTAGTGTCTGATATTTAAGAAGACTCTGAGATCAAACAATAAAAAAGTATATAAAACTCATAATCCAACAGAAACATTTTTTCTGATCAAGTAAGCAAAAGATAGTGGCGATAAATTAATTCCCAATCATGCTCAGCCAATTATGCTAATTGATGTAGCCTACATTAGGCATTTATAAACTCAGGCAATTTTCCTTTACAAGCAATCAAATAGTTTGCTGTGGTTTCTAATTACAAATTTTAAACGGTCAAAAGACCATCGTCAAGCTTCTTGCTAGATTTAATTTGAGATAAAAACTATTATTTTGCAACAATTTATATTTTGTAAAATCTATTTTTGTGGTATAATATACAGCAGGTTAAAAATTACCTAACAAGAAGATATAGCATTGTTGTACGGCATAAAAAACATATAACTAGTATGTACTATTTAGAATAATGGTTTAATTAAGTCAATTAATTTCTCATATCATTATGAGGGAAAGACGAAATACGTAACCATTTTTATCTAGCACGTCACTCGCTTTACCGTAGTATAAAATGACTTTAGCTAGAATATTTTTAACTAATCCACAAATCAAATAGCTGCTATGTACCATGTGCAATCAATAAAATATCAATAAATTCCATTTCTCTTTGTAAAAGCCTATTACAGAACCAACTTTAAAAATACACAGTGAGCCAGTTCATCATAGAAGTGACATTTGACGTGTAGCGGTGGAGACCCGAGTGGTCGGTGTGACGGGTGGCGCTTGACTATGACTCACGGTCGTGTGGTGGTGGCTGGCGCTGGAGACTCCAGTTCTGCAGGGCTCCAGAGAAGAGTTCAGTCGCTCGCTGGTCGTCCTTCCAGTCGGCCGTGCACTTCTCCCGGGTCTCCAACGGTCAGAGATCGCCGATTCGTATGTCGTGTTATCAATCTGTGAAGTTCGAGTGTTGAGTATTTGTCAGTTCGTTAAAAAATCATTATGTGATTTTTGTTTTATTTTTAGTTGTAATTTGCTTAGTTAATTTGTTCTTTTAATATTCTCTTCGTCTAAGAATGGACTCTACGGACTTAAACAACAACTCAGCGGAGGAAAAGATTTACTCGCTCCGTCCCAGAGCTTCTATCAAGAGTAACCGGGAGTTCGACCAGGAGGAAGACATTTGGAAGCCACGAGGACGGACCAAGAAGAGGACGAAACAGAAGTCAGCGCCACTCAGCAAGTACAGGAGGAAGACTGCCAACGCGCGAGAGAGATCGAGAATGAGAGAGATAAATGAAGCTTTTGAAGCTCTACGAAGAGCTGTGCCTCATCTGAACTCTAATAGTGAGAATCCCGGTGAAAAGATCTCGAAGATAATGACTTTACGATTAGCTATGAAATACATCACAGCTTTGAGTACCGCGTTGCAGGAACCTTGTTTCGGGGAGACTTCGCTGAGCGATGTGATGCTTAGTTGTGAAGGGATGTTGACTCCGGGGTCTATCAGTGAACCGTCAGAGTTTGGTGATGACTTTTTCGCGACACAGTTGCCCAGTGAGTCTATGTCATCTACGTCCCCTTCCTACGATGTCCCTGGTTTGGTGACTCCTCCATTGAACGACACCTTGCACCTCCCCCCGTTCAACCACCTCCGTCCCGAACCCGTAGCGCAATCAACGCAGGTATCCTTACCATCCTCTAGTACACTTCTTCAAGCTCTAACTTCAGAAAAGATACCTTATTTACATCAAAATCAACCCATTATGCGGAATAACTGTGATCTTCGTAGCCACACATTGACGCCTCCTGACGACCTGTGTAGAAACTCTTTCAGTTACCAGTTTAAAGAAAACTCTTTACCCTCCTCGACCTTCGCGACACCCTCATTCCTGACTGATTTTGACGGGCTTCCCTCACCAGCGATGGACTTTGAGGACTTATTCATCAAGTGATTGGTAAAAACCGAGTTTAGAATGTGATCACGTTTGTGAAATTTTTCCTCCTTAAAAGCATTTCAGAAAGTGTTCATGAAGGTTGTGAGTAAATTTTAAATTTTATTTAGAATCGGAACTGTAAATATAGTTATCATATATTATTTAGCCTCTACTCTGAGTGGGTTGAACTCATCGAGCAAAAGTTATAATAACTGAAAATCAATTTTAAGCAGAATTGCAATTTTTTGTTTTTTTGTTTAACGATTTTATAACATTCTATAATTTCAGAGCAAGAAACTGGTTCCAATTTTTGTTTTTTGGTATTAATGGAACAATTATATACGATGAGGTTAAAAATTCTCATCATAAATCATATAGTGGATGTTTCAGGGGACGTATTTATGTACATTTTCTCATAAAGAATATTTATTTCCTGTAAGAAAGTTTTGGAAGAATTGTTACTATATCAGATTAAAACTGAAGGCCTTTGCTTGTAGTTAATCTAAATTAAAACTGGGTAAAATCAAAAGATTTCTTTATAGAAGACTGACTTTTATAGCCAACGTAATATCTTTTTGGGTCCCCCATTGCTCTTGTGAGGACTTTAAATGTGTAATATTTAACGAATGTACTCAATAAATGTTAGTGTACAACCATTACCTTGGGTTACGATTTGCATACATTCACATATATAACCGAGGGACTTAAAAAATAATTTTACTTTATATCGACTTGAGAAAACTTGTTATATAAAAGGCATGTTATCAGATGAACCTTCTTTGCGAAACATACCAATTTTTATTTTATTTAGTATTGGAGGCTTTGTATAGTGTAAGATTAGTTTTCAATCCTGTTTAGTTAATAAGTGCCATTGTTTATACCATTTGTTGAAATGTATAGTAAAGATTTTTATGAAGACGTATTTTATGGTACTATTTCCCCTGAACTTCGACGCCTTTTTGATACAATTCCTATAGACATTGCTTTACAAAGTGCAATATATTTACAAAATATTAAATATTACAAGGAAGCATAAAATTATCTTTTAATCCTTTATGTGTGTCAAATCATTATCATATTCGATCAATTTGAATTAAATACTTTCTACGTATTTTTACTATAAATAAATAACTAATTTAGACTACTTTATATAATGATCTAAGATAAGTACTTTAAACATGTATAGTATCTTATGTAGATTGCTGCTGGAGCTGTGATAGTGATACGTTTAAATTTGAAGTTTGAAGTTTAAATATATTAACTCAGTTCATTATTGGATATCCAAAGTTAAATTGCTTACCTGCTTGTAAAAATACATATAATGTACAAGATTGTATAGAAAGTTACATCGTTTCAAGAGCGGTAATTTTATTACATACAAAGTTTTTCAGTATATCGATTAAATTCCATTGATGCCCGATCTTTGCATGAGTTAGGTGATATATTATCACAGGATCTGTCATAATACCACCAGTTTACCATCTATTGGAGGAGAGTTTAGGGAAATATTACGTTACATTAAAGTAAGTATGATTATACTGAATACACAACCGCCAATTTTACCCAAATGAACCCAGTAAAATGTTATTTTAATCGATATTGATAGCATTTTAAATTACCAATATCGTACACAACTCTTTAATTAGGTGTTTTAGATTTATTATTTAACTAATTTAATGGCTGTGTCATGGCTTGTCATTAAGATATGTTGTTCGGAAAGTTAATGTAGTAAAATCTAAAAATCATCGGTTATTAATTTGGTTTATTAAATCAGTGGTATTTTTTTGTATTAGTATAATGTGCAGAAACTATGAAGTGTTATTAAAGGAGTTTCTAGAAAGTTAGTTTGAAGCATATTTAATAGATAATAGTTGATTATAATGATTGTGAACAATGTTTTATGATTATTTATTGAATCGGTTGTGGTTATAGGTATTGCCGGAAAAATTATCTATATCCCAAAGCAGTCAACTTATAATTTAGTAATTTGGTTTGATTATTATGATTGCACTGCAACTTAATCAAACAGTAACTATATAGATGTGAAGCAGGCAACAAGACACAAAGAGGTCTATAAGTGTAATGTTTACAGTGCCAAATCCATTGCAATGCTTCGAAAAACATAAAAAATCACCTCAATTCAATAGTCAAGCTGGATAGAATACCCTTCTTTTGGATTAAGAATGGTTAACTGCATTCTGTTAATAAAATTACATGAAAATAGTTAATCAGTATCTTTATGACTCTAAGATGTTAGCTTTAATTTAAAAAGTGATTTTGAAACTATGGATAAATAAAAAGAGTAGTTGGTTAAATAAGTTAGTAGGGCATATTTTTTTAAATTTATAGTTACTCCTTCCCTCGACGAAGCTTCATATCAATTAGCTATAAAAAATAAATTGAAATTTTTAGTAATTACGTTTTAAATAGTTAAATATTTATTTCGTAAACTAGCAATGCGGTTTTTTACTTTACATTTATTGCATTGTACATTTACAGTTTAAATAGATAGCATGATAGTTCATTTAATGAAGCGTTTAAAAACGTCGTCGATTACTTTGTAATGGATTCAAATAAGAAGAATACTTTTATGTGTGTTTAAAGTGGTATTTGTAGTGTTAACGTTCTTCATATACACTTAAGCCAAACTTATTACTGTATAGCTATCCAAAACATAATACAACTAGTATTTTGAAACCACACATTTTGACATTTGACTCCGTTTTTTATAACGTTTTACAACATGTGGTTTTTTTTGTGATTAGTCTAATTTTGTTAGAAGCCTGACTCCATAGCAGGTAGGCATAATATCATACATGGTACTAGAATTTGTCGGACATATAAATATATCTTTGTTATTTTTTACAAAAATTCGCTCTTGTTATTTCACAATCGTTAAGCTCTCAAAGCAATTTCACTACACTATCGGTATTACCTAGAAACAGTCGATATTTTAAACCGGATTCTCTCACGATACTGAAATCCAATCAGGAATCATCACTTTAACACCCCTCCAATCATTAACTCCAGGAATCTGCAAACATCTTAAGATTTCTCACACCGAAATTCCAGACACGAGTATCCTAAGCCAAGACCTGAACGTTAAGTCAAAATCGCAACCAAACCAACAGCATTACATACCTCATCATCACATACCGCGGCTTATTTATTTTCAATCTCCCACACCATTAGGTGAGCATCACTCGGGCAAAGTGGGTCACTTCTGTTAATTAAATAAATCAGCCAGACAGGCGGTAATTGGCAAGGCGGTCCGCCAATCAGAGGCGAGGTGTTGAAACATTCTTGATTTATGATTGGTCAGTTAATTGGCCCGGTAATGAGTAAGACTCAATAACCAGTGGCTACTGGTAGCGCAGTTTATGACACCAAAGATTGGGCTGATCAGCTGATCAGAGGTTTGGCTCATTGAAGGTATACGGTCATGTTAATACACTTGCAAGGTTAACTGGAATATTACAAAGTTGCAGTGTTCACTTTCAACCAGTTTATAGTGATGAATGTCCATAAAACTTTTATTTGAAAAGTATTCGTAGGTTGGCGCGAAATAAATGAATAACCTGATATATTTCGCCATTTAATGTATTAAATAAGAATCCTTGAAGTTTGGCCTCCATCAGGGTACAGTTTCTTAAATAGGCTATGCTAATATCGATTGAAACTATTGATTCCATTAGTAAACCTTCATGCGATTTTTTCACCATCAGCAAGTTTGGTTGGTTAGGTTAGGTCATGATAGTTTAATTTTATAATAGATATATTTAAAAACTAGCTGTAACCCGCGGGCTTTGCCCCGTTTAACTTCTTAATTTTCAAGATTATCTCGTTTTATGGCTCAATCACGTCCTGGTTGAAGTTTGTTCGCTACGCTCACTCACCTTTAGGTTGGAGCTCGTTCGCTACGCTCACTCACCTTTAGGTTGGAGCTCGTTCGCTGCGCTCACTTGCCTTCAGGTTAGCTCGTTCGCTACGCTAACTCGCTTCCAGCTCCAGTTGAAGTTCGTTCGTACGCTCACTCACCTTATGGTTGCAAATTAGCTGTTGTCATAAATAAAAAAATAGTTTTGCACCCTGTTGGTAAACCTATTAACTTTTTAATGCTATTGAACATCACAGAATCAAATTGTTTAGTTAACAACCAGCTGTTAAGATTCTTTTATTCCATTTAAATATGAGTACTCATAAGGTTAACATGGGAAACTCCAGAGCCACTGGGGGGGAGCCCGAGAGTCCGATCAGAATACATGTCCATCCATACATCCATACATCCAAACTTTCTCATTTATAATATTAGTAGGATATCGATTATTAATCAATATTTTCAATTCGATAATTTCAATCGATATTAGCATAGCCCAGTTAAGAAACTGGGCCTCCATCATAAAATCTGTTTCTACCTAGATTGTATACTGTTTCCTTAGTCGTTTTATACTTTTCACTAATCTTAGGCCTAGATTTTGCTCATCAGCTGGGAATTGTGAATGACTACCAAGTACCTTCTTCTCTGTGGAATAACATAGTTTAGTACATCAAAGAATTGTCTATGAAAAAGGCCATCCCTATGGAGACCTATAGTGCTCGCTTCGCAATGAAAAGTCGCCAATTAGATCATGAGAAAAGTTAGTAACTTTTCGATCTTTCGACACTGGCCCACCTGTTTTTGATCTTTGGGCTTTAAATAAACTAGCTGTTACCAACGGGCTACCCCGTTTGACTTCATAAGTATTAATAAAACTATTGATTGGTTAAGTGAAGCTGAGGCTATACAAAAACAGAATACAGTGATACAAACAAATAATCACGCCTGATTTTAATAAGATAATAAAATGAAAGAAGAACAAATAAGTACAGCTGAGGCATTTTTAACATTTGGGTATATGGAAAGTTCCCTTTAGAAAGGAATTACGACCTTAAGGAGCAACTTATGAAATAATGGATAGTTTTGTGCAAGGTTTCTCGTTATGACGAACATTTTAAGTGTATGGTTTATGGGAGTGTGACTTTCAGTTTTCTCAAAAGTTCATGGGTACTTTGGGATTTATATATGGATGGGCATGACTAATGATAGGGCGAGTATTTTGTCAGTAACAAATCTACACAGATCATCTCATTCCAATCTACACTCACCTCGTTTTAAAATATAGCTTTAACCCGCAGTTTCAAAGAATTTATTATTTATGAAATTGTATTATTGTATACACAACTATTTATGTGTTTGGACGTCAACCCTGAACCTTAAAAATGAAATAAAAACTTCTCTTCTTATGGTCCCTAATTTTCCATATACCTACCGATATAAACAAACTTGTGATTTGTGAGGACTGAACCAAATACCTTCACTTTCACTTATGCTGTATTCAGAATTAGTTTTTTTTTTAATTATTGTATCCATTTGGTTCATTTTTAATGACTCATCGATTCACATTACCCTGGGAACAGAAAGGCTGTGCGAGACACTAACCTCCACCAAGAAACATGGATCTAGTTATCTTTATTGACCAGATTACCCCCGTTACAGCAGCCCTGCACACTAGCAACTCTGGTGGTCTGAGATGGCTGCAGCTTCGTTTAATTCTTAATTTTATGATACCGCCGCGATTTCCCTTGAATATCCCCAGTAACGGGTTAAGCTACTGAAGATAGTTTTAAATCATTAACACGCAGTCTGAAGTATGAAGGAATCTTCTGGTAAGTCGCTTATACGACCAGCAAGTCACTTATGCAAATTAGATTTACTGCAAGTAATGGTTTGGTGGAAACCATGTGGAGTTTATAGGTAAACATGTGAATAAGCAAGTATAATTTTGGATATTTTTAATTGAACATGCCTGAGTTTCTTTAATATATACCATTCAAGTTATTACTTAAAACTCTTTGGCAGTACATAAAATCTTCGTCTGTTTGATACATAATCTCACATTTAAAAAATATTAATATGTTTACCTATTTAAAATCCTCCGCTATATGTTGAATATATTTTGGATACTGAATATGATTGTTAAAAACTACTCTTTCAAGAATCACAATTATTATGGTATTACAAGATGACTAATATTAAACTACAACTTTAAAATGAGTGGATACTTCGACAATATGCAACAAAACCATAACATATTATTAAGAACGAAACTATCTAACAATAAGCAATAGATTATTCCCTTATGTACTAACTATAAAAGGAAAACAGGCGTGATCAAAATAATAAACATATAAATAAGTAAATACTGCCAGTCATTAACATTAACATAAACGATCAATCCCTATTTATGTTTACAACAAATGCTTTTAGAAAACCGATAGTATCCTATTCTCTAAAAACGAGCTATGTCTGTTTGTCTGTCTATCTGAAGGCCTTATGGATTACTAAGTAACTAAGTTGATTGAACAAAATAACAAGGAAAAGTACACAAAAGAAGTGTCACTACTCACATGTGTTTGTAACAAGCCATCCACAATATACTAGCAAATTACAAAATACATAAGGAAAAACATCAGTTGTAACTATTGAGCAAGGATTAGATTGCACTGAAGATTCCTCGATAGAGGGGAAAGTAGTTCCGACCAAATACTGATTATTTTACTTAGCCCTCTCCCACCAAAACCTAATCCCTGAAGTAATGAGGCATTCCAAGTATAATAAATTACATATGGGGGTTTTAATTGTCATAACACTATTACCGGATGCTAAAGTAGTATCGAAAAAAAAAACGAATAATCGTTGTCACAAGCCATTTTAAAACTAACATAATTTCGTTTACCTCATAATTTTATCTGCTGTTTTAGTGAGATTAAAAGTGAACATCAGGTTTCAATGACTAGAGGGAAGAAAAATCTTTGCGAGTAAAGCAAGATCACAAAAATGTATCTTATTTTCGTTTAGTTGCAGGCTTTTACGTTACAGAGATGTAATTATTTCAGCGATCAAATGTTTGTCCATGGTTTGTAATAAAAATGTTTTTCGTAAATTTTCTAAAATATTTGTTTACAATATTGCTTTATTTTAACTATTAAACCCAGTTAACTACAACCGAGCAAGGCTCGGTCCCCCGGTACTATGGTTATTGAGAGAAAAATAAAATATAATTAATTAACCATAACTTTAAACTGACGACAAGCAATAATAAAAATACTTGTTACTCGGAAGGTTAAATTGCATGATTTCTTTCTTTTAAAATTATATACCCATAAGGTAAACAAGGGAAACTTCAGAGCTACGATGGTCGAGCCCAAAATTACTTTTCAGATAAGAATAAGCCTACAATGTTAAAGGGTGATATGAAATAACATTGCGCGATATTTCAGTCCAATCTGACCAGTATTTAAGTCGTGATTTAGCTCCAAAATATTAATTATGATTATTTATAGACTAATTTCAAATCAACCTACTGTACTTCGATCACCCCTTATAATCTCTAGCCAAGCAACTGTACACAAAAAAATTGGTTGCAAGGACTTTAAAAACACAAAAATATGTAACTTAAAATAAAAAAAATCAGTTTCAAAATTTTGGCCTCGCTACCGGAAACCTCTCTAGTACTGTACGAACAATAGCATTAAATATGTCCCGGTCACAATGGAGAATAGGACGATAACTTGAAGTAGCCCAAACCCGCTAACGATGGTGACGGTAGTACATCAATGGCTTACCACCCAACCCTAGGCTTAGTGTGTTTATATAGCTCGGTAATTATAGGTATTGTCGGCTTGTTTATTTAATTTACTGAGCCACCTGGGCCCGGGATAAGTCGCTCTCAATGGCACGATTCAGTGAGCCCGTAACTTCGAGTGGGCGAATTAAATCCACTTTAATTTGTAATCTGTCGGATAAGATTCAAAGTAGGAGCTTGTTTATTTTGACGAATTTAAGGATTGTAAGTGGTTTGGAGGCGAAAATGATTTGTATATTTTATTTATAGAGTTTCATTTTTTGAGTAATACTTGTCATTTTTAGTTTAGCAGTTGTAATGTAATTCACTGCGAATCTTGATAATACAGGAACTTATCTCGAATTGGCTCTTAAATCATTATCAATCAAATTCCCCACTAACTACACAAATCTCTCAATATTTATGGTTTAGTACCAAATAAACTCATACAAATTTTTGTATATTAGGAAAATCAAGCTAAAAGAAAATGAATATTATATTTTTTCCAATGTCTCGTGCGCCCCGTAGGATTAGAGCGAGGATTATAACACATTTGTTTGAATTCACATATTTTTCCATGGGCGGTGGTTTAATTTCAAATAATGTCATTTATTTTAATTTCCAAATTCAAACCAATTAGTTTACTACAACTAAATGAATTGAAAGCGACCGTGCATTGAAGATTAAAAAGTTATTGTTTACAAACTTATTAAATAACAAGCACCTTCATATTAAATAAAGAAAATGTACGTTGAGAGATACCCAGAGAGTAAAGTCACTTAATAGTGGTGTTCCTACCACTTACTATACAAATCATAATTTTTCCAGTGCCTCCATGAAAATAAATTTACTATTCTTTGAAATATAAATTACTTAGATATCTTGTCAAAAAGTTCAATCCACGTAAAGTTCGATCAAAACAGCTCAAGGCTGGTAAGAAATAAAATTATGTTATCAACGCTAACAAAACACAGTACACAGGCAAGCTAGACAATAGAACATAAAGCCGAACCCTATCCCGAGTTATGTAACAATAAGCAAATATTATGTAGCACTGTGGCATACACGGGGGTGGGGCTGGCCCTGACACTGCTGCATACTTACACAATTACACCGCGTACATTGTACAGCGACATACGTAGGTTAACGAAATATATCGGTCACGACCGGAGCGAGCTTTCGAAATGCGGGAATCGTAAGAGGAATAACAATCAGGCCTTGAGTAACGTGGATCTTGAGTTGGCTACACAGAACACGAAATTGATGTAGGTGTAAAGAAGAAGAAAGTATTTGGAATGTTTAAGCAGAAGGTCACAAAAGTGAGTACTTTATGTATGATTAGGAGAAAAAGATCGATTCTGGTTTTCACATCACGGTTCAGAACGTAGCTTAGAACGAGTCTTTTGATAAAACGAAAATTGATAACTTACAAATTACATATTAAAGATAGAGTAGGCATGAAGTTAAGGAAAACATGTTTTCTTACACAGACCATTTGCCTTTACCATCCCATCAAAACAGGAACAAGAGGTACAACGAACACACAATAATAACACTCTATGTTATCTCCCAGTAGTATTACCCCTTGCTACCCCCATGTAGTCTGGTCTGATCCCTTGTAGTATTACCCCTTGCTTCCCCTTTGTAGTCTTACCCCATGTAGTCTTACACCTTGTAGTCTTACACCTTGTATTCTAACTCCTTGTATTCATATCCTTTGTAGTCTTACCCCTTGTAGTCTCACTTTTAGTCCTCCTTCTTGTTATCTCTCTCCTAGCCCCACCACTTGTAATCTCCCTCGTTGTGTTTCCCCTTGTTATCTCCCTCCTAGCCCAACCCTTTGTAAGCTCCCTTGTAGTCCTCCTTCTTGTTATTTTCTCTCTCTTAGCCCCACCACTTGTAATCTCCCTCGTTGTGTTTCCTCTTTTTATCTCCCTCATAGTCCCACCCTTTGTAAGCTCCCTCGTTGTCCTCCCCCTTGTTGTATCCCTTGTAGTCTTACCCCTTGTTATATACCTCCTAGCCCCACCCCTTGTAATCTCCCTGAAAGTTCTCCCCCTTACCTCGTAGTCTTACCCCTTGTTATCTCCCTTCTAGCCCCACCCCTTTGTAATCTCCCTCAAAGTCCTCCGCCTTGTTATATCCCTCGTAGTCTCCCCCTTGTTATATCTTTCTTAGTCTTACCCCTTGTTATCTCCCTTCTAGCCCCACCCCTTTGTAATCCCCCTCAAAGCCCTCCCCCTTGTTATATCCCTCGTAGTCTTACTCCTTGTTATCTCCCTTCTAGCCCCACCCCTTTGTAATCTCCCTCAAAGTCCTCCCCCTTGTTATATCCCTCGTAGTCTTACCCCTTGTTATCTCCCTTCTAGCCCCACCCACTTGTAATCTCCCTCAAAGTCCTCCCTCTTGTTATATACCTGTGTTGTTAGCTCTCGTAGTCTTCCCCCTTGTTATCTCTCTTAGTCTTCCCCCTTGTTATCTCTCATATACCCCGTGTTATACCCTATCATAGTCCTACCACTTTGTATCCTTCTCCGTAGTCCCTTCTTGTCCCTATATCTGTCTTACCCCTTGTTAACTCCCTTCTAGTTCCATCCTATCCCTCATTATCCCTCTCGTATTCCTACCCCTTGTTATCCCGGACCGTGTGGTCTATTGTCTGCGGCCACCGTGTCCAGCAGCCGCGCCTCATCTATATGCGGCCTTACGCCACTTGCATGCAATTACACGTCGTTAGCAGTAATGGAGCGATCGCCACGACCCGGGGTCAACCGTGACTCACCCCCGGCACATCAGCTGATTGAAACCTTCGTCCACCGTAGTTCACCATCCACCGTCCACTACTCATCATCGTCTGTCCATCGTGGTCAACTGTCCACCACCCGTAGTTCACCATGCACCGTCCACTGTTGACCATCGCCTGTCTATCGTGGTCAACTGTCCACCACCCGTAGTTCACCATCCACCGTCCACTATTTATCGTCGTCTGTCTATTGTGGTCAACTGTCCACCACCAGTAGTTCACCATCCACCGTCCCCTATTTATCGTCGCCTGTCTATCGTGGTCAACTGTCCACCACCAGTAGTTCACCATCCACCATCCACTATTTATCGTCGCCTGTCTATCGTGGTCAACTGTCCACCAATCGTAGTTCACCATCCACCGTCCACTATTTATCGTCGCCTGTCTATCGTGGTCAACTGTCCACCAATCGTAGTTCACCATCCACCATCCACTATTTATCGTCGCCTATCTATCGTGGTCAACTGTCCACCACCCGTAGTTCACCATCCACCGTCCACTATTTATCGTCGCCTGTCTATCGTGGTCAACTGTCCACCAATCGTAGTTCACCATCCACCATCCACTATTTATCGTCGCCTATCTATCGTGGTCAACTGTCCACCACCCGTAGTTCACCATCCACCGTCCACTATTTATCGTCGCCTGTCTATTGTGGTCAACTGTCCACCACCAGTAGTTCACCATCCACCGTCCCCTATTTATCGTCGCCTGTCTATCGTGGTCAACTGTCCACCACCAGTAGTTCACCATCCACCATCCACTATTTATCGTCGCCTGTCTATCGTGGTCAACTGTCCACCAATCGTAGTTCACCATCCACCGTCCACTATTTATCGTCGCCTGTCTATCGTGGTCAACTGTCCACCACCCGTAGTTCACCATGCACCGTCCACTGTTGACCATCGCCTGTCTATCGTGGTCAACTGTCCACCACCCGTAGTTCACCATCCACCGTCCACTATTTATCGTCGCCTGTCTATCGTGGTCAACTGTCCACCAATCGTAGTTCACCATCCACCATCCACTATTTATCGTCGCCTATCTATCGTGGTCAACTGTCCACCACCCGTAGTTCACCATCCACCGTCCACTATTTATCGTCGCCTGTCTATTGTGGTCAACTGTCCACCACCAGTAGTTCACCATCCACCGTCCCCTATTTATCGTCGCCTGTCTATCGTGGTCAACTGTCCACCACCAGTAGTTCACCATCCACCATCCACTATTTATCGTCGCCTGTCTATCGTGGTCAACTGTCCACCAATCGTAGTTCACCATCCACCGTCCACTATTTATCGTCGCCTGTCTATCGTGGTCAACTGTCCACCACCAGTAGTTCACCATCCACCGTCCACTATTCATCGTCGTCTATCTATCGTGGTCAACTGTCCACCACTCGTAGTTCACCATCCACCGTCCAATATTTATCGTCGCCTGTCTATCGTGGTCAACTGTCCACCACCAGTAGTTCACCATCCACCATCCACTATTTATCGTCGCCTGTCTATCGTGGTCAACTGTCCACCAATCGTAGTTCACCATCCACCGTCCACTATTTATCGTCGCCTGTCTATCGTGGTCAACTGTCCACCACCAGTAGTTCACCATCCACCGTCCACTATTCATCGTCGTCTATCTATCGTGGTCAACTGTCCACCACTCGTAGTTCACCATCCACCATCCACTATTTATCGTCGCCTGTCTATCGTGGTCAACTGTCCACCAATCGTAGTTCACCATCCACCGTCCACTATTTATCGTCGCCTGTCTATCGTGGTCAACTGTCCACCACCAGTAGTTCACCATCCACCGTCCACTATTCATCGTCGTCTATCTATAGAGGTCAACTGTCCACCACTCGTAGTTCACCATCCACCGTCCAATATTTATCGTCGTCTGTCTATCGTGGTCAACTGTCCACCACCCGTAGTTCACCATCCACCGTCCACTATTCATCGTCGTCTATCTATCGTGGTAAACTGTCCACCACCCGTAGTTCACCATCCACCGTCCACTATTCATCGTCGTCTATCTATCGTGGTCAACTGTCCACCACCCGTAGTTCACCATCCACCGTCCACTATTTATCGTCGTCTGTCTATCGTGGTCAACTGTCCACCAATCGTTGTTCACCATCCATCGTCCACTATTCATCGTCGTTTATCTATCGTGGTCAACTGTCCACCACCCTAGGTCAATGACGTTTTCTGCTTGCCGTTGTCTACCATTTAACATGGCAAACGTTATACATTATGTTTTCCTAAATTCTTTTATGTGAAGAAAAACATAATTTACATATTAAAAAGGAGTTTCTGGCACGGAGCCTTACCACCATTTTCCAACTTTATAAACTCATATTTACTTCTTCCCATTGAGAATATTCGTTACCCATCGTTAAAAAATTATTTTTACAAATTTAACAACCATCAATTACTATTTTGGTGATTTAGACAATAATTATGATCATATTTTTTTTACAAAATATGAAAACAATGTATATCCTAATTTTAGCATACATAGGAAAATTCTGATACTTAAGGAAAGTCTCCGATTACATTACAGAGTAGCCAATCAACCATAGAACATTTATAAAGGCAATATTGCAAACCACAAATTACAACAACAATAACAGTGCCGGTTTCAACTTTTATAGAAGAAGCAAACATAATCTGCCAAACGATGGTACCTGTTGCCGTGAGGCTGGTGTGCCAATGACTAACGGCCGTCGGAGGTAGTTTCTCAACAATTACCGTAAAATCAGCAATAAAGTGGATCTGTAATGACATCCGGAGCGACCCACCTACACAGCGGCGCCCACGACAGATCAGCTGATCAGCGATCGCGTGTGAGCGGAGCGACTGAGTCTGAGCAACCGTCACGCAGGGATGCAACCGAGCCGCGATTTATGCTGATTTTAGATTAGTTCGGTTGGTAACACCGATGCCGATCGGGTTATCTGCTGATAGTCATCTGGGTTTGATAAATGAGTGTTGTGTATGTTGGCGACAAAGATGGGATAGTGGGTGACAAACGCGGTAAATTGTATGTCGCGTGATAGAACAGGGGTCGTTCAGGTTTGTAAAGGGAATCGATGGTTTTTGCTGTGAGAAATTAATGTGCATTGGGTCTAATGTTTGATTGGATGTGATATTTTATCTATAAATGGTGGATTACACTAAAACGAACATGCATGATGCAACATAATTTATTTTAAAGATATACGGTATTTAATAACCACGATATTCAAATGGTACAAAATGGTTCAAATGGTACTCACGATATCTAAAATAATCCATCTTTGATATAAATATTAAGTGTCGCATTTCGGGCCATACAAAGGTGATGCATTAATATTATTAAGTTTTAAAACGCTTTTTTAATTTTCTAAAAGGTATAAATCCTTTAAGAAATATACTCCAGAACTGGCATTTTAGTAGAAGAGTTTTCATTTTTTTGGCTACCAACCTGATTCTCACGTAGTAGGCAAAGTATGTAACTCACAATCATAAAAAAATTAAATAATGTACAGCTATAGAGAGAAAACTCAAATGTAACTCACAAGTAACTCAATACATCAGTAATATATAGTGGGTTATGTATGATAGTTTCTTAATACTTTGGAGAGTTCTACAAATAAAAGGCTTACATGTAATGTGACTGTAAGACAAAAATATATTTAACCCACTTCCAACAAAAAGCTTACCTGACTTCAAATTCAGCCATCACACAACATGTTCAACAATTGTCTTGACAAACAGCTGATATGCACCCAAACCAATGTAAATGAAACTTAATGTGTTTTCTTTTAAAATGGTACCAACTAAAATAGTCTTAAAACAATTTTACCCAGTAATATTTACAATAAAAAACAGGAAATTCATTTATTGAAAAAAATCAAAAACCCTATTGCATTAATTGAAATTTTATATTTCTGAGTTCAGTTTTTCCAAAATCTGACCGAAAACGAGTAAAAGTCGTTAAACGACGGTTAATCGTAACCAAGGTTTCAAAGGCAAGCCGCTGTGCGTAGTGAGGTAGCCCAGAACCCGACGTTTTGCCGCCAATTAGGAAAATGCCGCCAATTAATTAAACAACGATAAACAGTCTTTTAGGCCAATCAGCAATCACCGTTCCCACGTTATCTTCGTTAATTGGGAACGGCTCTTTGAACCACCAAATCACAGAGATAAATTTGTTCCTGAACGTTTTTCTAGTGAGTTTTCGTCACTTTAGAAACACTCTTGCCATTTTTGTGGCCCTGAATTGGCGCTTTCATGGCAACTCTCACAAAATTTAATTTGTTTTTTTAAATTTAAAAAGATGGGTTACTTTCGAATAAAACTCTTGGATTTGTTCAGCTTACGGTTGCACCCTTCTGGTCGCTGAACAACGGGTAAAGTGTTTTCGGAAGAAGCCAAACGTCCATAAACTACACAATAATCAGCAGCAAATCAGATTTTCATTTATATTTACACAGCATTAGGCTTTTTAAACCAATAAAATGTTTAATATCATAGTCGAACATATACTTTTGCAATTATTATGCCTATTAAAAATGACACGAATTGCGGTCAAATGTATACAGAGTTGGTGTACACAGACCATTAAGATTAACAGCAGAAAAATGTTTATAAACGTTTGCAGAAGATTTTGAAATTGGATATTAGACTATTCAATTGCAGGCATACAGTCGTATTTATCAAGGATTAGTATCTTATTTGCCAAATTACCACAGTAATATTGTGTTTTTTATATATAATTTAATCCATTTTAGATTACTATCCTTTGAGCAGCTAGTAGTAGAGCAGTTAAATTATAGATTTACCTTGTCATGATTTATTTGTAAAGAAATTAGTAGTGTGTTATTATTCGTACCTAACTTTCCTCTCCATTTGGCATGATTAAATTGACATAAAATACTTTCAATCATAAACAAAATTAAGTATAATATCAATTAAATTAAATAATTATAATAAATCTATTCTCATTAAGGTTTTCTATAAAACAAATGTTGCAACGTGTGAAGCATTCGATGTTTGCAAACTCATTGAAGTCATTTACTGACTGAAAAGGGATGGGCACAGTTAGAAAGGCATCTTCAGCCATCATAACGGATATTGAAAATAGATTTTTACATTCACCATAAAATACTTATGGGAAATACGCGAAATGGAGGTCGTTAGTCATACCTCCCATAACTGTATAACGCGATGGCGTTAGCGTGATAGTTTTATGACTTGCTTTGAATAAATCTATCGATAACAGTGTAACATAAGCTCAGGTCGAGATCACAATCTTTACCTCCCAACCAGAAAAGGTCACTCGATAAAACTATTTATTGGATTAGCATTTATTTTATTTCTGGTTTGATTGAACTTTAAATCCTACCACATGGCGTTTCTTGCGATCATCCTGAATGAGGTAACCTTCGATATTATTTTATTACTGCACTTAAGCTTACTCAATCACTTTACCATTGTGAGTATGTCCTTCATCTATTCAATCAGTTATAGAGGTGTGATCGTATTTATTTAGTACTGTATTTACTTCTGTATACGATTAAAAACACAACTAAAAAACTCTTGTTTGGGATATCTACTACTGCCATCTTTATTTGTTTGATTTCTATCTTTGGACTGCTAATATATATTTACTTCCAACTTTAGAAAAAAAATCTTAATTATTTTGACAAAATGTGACTCAGCTTGACAACATTTGAAGACTACTTGTAAACAATTTCTGTAGAATACAGATGAAAGCCTTGTAGGGTGGGGTGAAGCCTGGAAATTAAGTTCCTGTTAGAAGTAAACTAAAGAAATATTAGTTAAAGAATTTGATTTGTTTCCACTTTGAATATGTACGTGTTCATTGCAATGGTTTGTGCATTAAGTATGGAAAGATATAATATATAATATATATATAAAGATAAAATATTGTCACTTCTGTAATTCCATCGAAAACTCAATCTACTTTAAAATATGTATTCCATAATAATGTTAGTTATGTGTAAGGCGAACAGAAAAGTTTTACTTTTCTTATAAACTATTATTCTTATAAAATTTGCATCTTAACACTCATTTTATTTTATCAAAGGAAGTTAAAAACCAATATTGCGAAGTAATTTATAAATCAGTTTAAGTGACTAATGTTTAATTATAATTACAAAAAACATAGCACAAGTTAAATAGATTCACAGATTTTAATGGAGACCTCTCTTCTGTGATGGAGACGTTTTCTGTAAACCTCTGCTGCTTTGAAAACTTTCTGGGGATGTGCTACTTAGCAGACGTTGTGTAAATATTTTGAGAAACTGATTTTCAAAACGGTTAAAATGGGCAGGTCGGGGGTCGCACGAACTTCTGTTCCATGTATATTTATAGGTTTACGAATTTCAAATTTGAATTCACCGCTTTCCAGATATTGTTTCTTTGCTACACCCTCATTAAAATGTATAAGGTATCATTGATATTTGATTTGTTTACAGACTAACTGAATAATTTTCTTATTTCTTTGTGGATTAAAAGTACTGTTAGTCCCTAATTCAAATTGAAAATCCATTATTAAACCTAAACCTAACTTGCACTTGGTTAAACATAGAACGCCGTATAGGTAATTTAAGCACTGTTTAAAAAAGATAGACTCTGCTAGTTTGCCTGAGGAAAGAATATTTCATTGGCATCTTTGAGAAAGGCCTATTTTCAGATATCGGTGTTATCCAACTTATTTTCAGGACAATGTTATTCAATCCACTTTATTATAGTCCTCATTCTAATTACAGTAAGAGTTTGTGTTTTTACTATATTTTTTACTCTTGATCATATCAATACTGAGTGAATTACTTTGCATAACAGGAAAACTAGTAAGGCATTAATTGTAATTGGTCTCACTCGTTATCCCGTTCTTTAGGGGTTCGATGCATGTGACATTATTCATTGAATTCACGATACCGTGTTAAAATGTAAATAATTAAATAAAAGTATGCTTAGAGCAACTCTCCTTGAGGTACGTTCTGTTAAGTATCAGGAGCTTTTGAACATCTATTACCTTTAGTAAGCGTACAGAACCTAACATGAAACTCGCTAATTCTAAGATACGTTGTTACTATATAAAACTCATATAAACGCAAAATAGTATACATACAGCGGTTCTAATTGAAATAAAGAGTTAAGTGTGGAGAGGTTTTAAATTCCAAA